ATTTAGAGGGATGGGATTTACTTTATGGGTGGCATGCCTATTTAATATTTAATAAAAAAATGGACTGTGGTCTTTAAATCTCATATTTTAAGAATTTCTTTACTTAGGATTTGGAGAAAATATTATAAAAGTGATTTTAAAGTTCCATTATGGGCTATACCTTGGCATGCGATAGAAGGAATAAAAGAGGAGTAAAAATGGACATGGTGTCTTATAGTCAGTTACTTAGATGGGATGGGCAAAACTGGCAGTTAAGATTACGGGAAGATTTAGCGCAAGAAAATATTATTTATTCTTGGTTTCAATATAGGCAACTAGTAGATAAATGGAAGGTGGATTGTAAATTGGGTTTTCTTAGAGAAGATGGAAATCTTATTAAGCAAGTCAAGGATCAAAGACAAACCCATATCAAGAGAATTTATGGGGTATTAGTTGAAATGGACTCAGAAACGGAATTAATTAAAGATTGTATGATTAGATGGGCGCAGAATTTTGGTGTCCCAGTCTCATTGGACATTTGGGAAACCATTTGGGTGAGAAATGTCAAATTTACACAAGCACAGAACCTTAGGGAGAATTTTTATAAAATGTTTTATAGATGGCACCTTGATCCACAAAAAATGTCTCTTATGTACCCTGACGTGCAACCTAAATGTTGGAGATGTGGTTATAAGGATGCTTCCTATTATCATATCTGGTGGTCATGCAGAGAGATAAAAGCATTTTGGATCAAAATATGGTGGAATATCCAGAGAATTTTTAGAAGGAGGGTAAAATTTACTCCGCAATTATTTTTGTTAGGCATTGTTACAGATTGTGATACAAAGGAGGTTGTATTGATGTTAAATTTGATTACAGCCGCTAGGCTGTTAGTAGGACAATATTGGAAGAAGGAATCTTTGCCTACATTGCAGGAATGGTTTCTTAAAGTAGCTTATCTGGCGGAAATGGCAAAGATTTCGGCTTTCTTAAAGCAATAAACGCAAGAGAAGTTCCTTGCTGTTTGGGACAAATGGATAAAATTTATACAATTTAGATTGGGTATACAAAAATATCATATAGCTTTTTTATAAGTTTTATTTTTATATATATATATATAGATATTTTTTATATATATATATATATAAATATAAATTTTTTAATTTAATTTTTTATTTTTATTTCTTAATTTTTAATTAAGCCTATATTCTGCTCTGGGAAGCTCAGGGGGGGGAAGGGAGGGTTTTTGTGAGGGGTGGGGGATGGGTTTTTTTTTATATATATATATGTAATGTTTAGTTTCTTTTTTGTATATGTTGTCTTTTGTTTTGTATTGTTTTTGTCTTTTTGTAAAATTTATAAAACTTTTAATAATAATAAAAAAAAAAAACCCATTAAGGGCAAGTCCACACTGATTACTGAATGCAGAATTTAGATTAGTAAAAGATTTGCAACAATGAATTTCAATAGAAGTGTATTACATTAACCCTCAAAGGAGTTATAAAATATTGGTATAACGTGTTTTAATTCAGTATATTACTCCAGTTTTGATTGCTAACATTGGTAATTATTTTATAAAACGTGTTGGAGATGTACATGTTTGATTAAAAATAGAAAAAAATATACATGATTTTTTAACATATCATTTATATTTTACTTTGACAGATCTGGCAATTTGTTGAACAGCTGCCATTTGGGGAGTTCATTATAGGGCCCTGTAAGCTCTTCTGATTCAAAGTGTATTACTAGAAATATTTTTGAAAATACTTTTGTTAAGAGCATGATTAGATGCTGCTTAATACATCTGATGCTTTCACAAATTCTGAGTTTGGGCTGAAATTGCTTTTTCAAGATTTACAGGATAATCATCATCTATAATAAGGAACTGATATGCAATACCACTCAGGATGCAAACCACAAAATTAACTGCTATGACCATTCAGGTTTCCTAGACGCTTTGAACCTTTTTAGTTCTGTCTATAAAACCTCTTTAATACAAGATATCTCAGTTTGGGAACCGAGTTGTGTTTTTTTTAATACTGAAGTGTTTCTTGATTTTCTTGAGTTAACACAAGCATAAGGTATGTGCATTTGGAAGTAAAAGAAATAAAAGGAACTTTTCATTTATTTGAATGCTTAGCTATTCTATATACTTCCTTCCCAAAAAAGCATTATCAGCTTCAGTTTCTATTCAGGCAAGGAGATGCAGAATCAAACTCCATGTAACGTCACCAAACAGCAACTAGCTATGTAGTAACACTAGCCATTCACACTAGCTTGTGTACTTTCAAGTATCACTGCCAAGTTAGCACTTGCAGCTATTTCTCTTTTCTGTCTACAAACATAATTGTTTATATTATTCATAGACAGAAACTGATAATCACAAAAAATTTTTAAGGTGCTCAATTTAGTGTGAGAAAAGGTGGCATGAAATTAGCAAGTTTTATTTTTATGCTCATTTTGGACTGCTTTGTAATTGACACATGTAAACTGTTATGATTCAATATGAGACAATAAAGGATGCAAACCACAAAATTAACTGCTATGACCATTCAGGTTTCCTAGACGCTTTGAACCTTTTTAGTTCTGTCTATAAAACCTCTTTAATACAAGATATCTCAGTTTGGGAACCGAGTTGTGTTTTTTTTAATACTGAAGTGTTTCTTGATTTTCTTGAGTTAACACAAGCATAAGGTATGTGCATTTGGAAGTAAAAGAAATAAAAGGAACTTTTCATTTATTTGAATGCTTAGCTATTCTATATACTTCCTTCCCAAAAAAGCATTATCAGCTTCAGTTTCTATTCAGGCAAGGAGATGCAGAATCAAACTCCATGTAACGTCACCAAACAGCAACTAGCTATGTAGTAACACTAGCCATTCACACTAGCTTGTGTACTTTCAAGTATCACTGCCAAGTTAGCACTTGCAGCTATTTCTCTTTTCTGTCTACAAACATAATTGTTTATATTATTCATAGACAGAAACTGATAATCACAAAAAATTTTTAAGGTGCTCAATTTAGTGTGAGAAAAGGTGGCATGAAATTAGCAAGTTTTATTTTTATGCTCATTTTGGACTGCTTTGTAATTGACACATGTAAACTGTTATGATTCAATATGAGACAATAAAGGACTTTCACTGAACATACAGTGAGGGAAAAAAATATTTGATTGTCTGCTGATTTTGTACGTTTGCCCACTGACCAAGAAAAGATCAGTCAATAATTGTAATGGTAGATTTATTTTAACAGTGAGAAACAGAATAACAAAACTATCCAGAAAAACGCATTTCAATAAAGTTATTAATTTAATGAGTGAAATAAGTATTTGATCCCCTAACAATTAGCAAGATTTCTGGCTACCAGGTGTCTTTTATACAGGTAAAGAGCTGAGATTAGGAGCACTCTCTTAAAGGGAGTGCTCCTAATCTCAGTTTATTACCTGTATGAAAGACACCTGTCCAAAGAAGCAATCAATCAATCATATTCCAAATTCTTTACCATGGCCAAGACCAAAGAGCTGTCCAAGGATGTCAGGGACAAGATTGTAGACCTACACAAGACTGGAATGGGCTACAAGACTATCGTCAAGCAGCTTGATGAGAAGGTGACAACAGTTGGTGTGATTACTCGCAAATGGAAGAAACACATAATAACTGTCAATCTCCCAAGGTCTGGGGCTCTATGCAAGATCTTACCTTGTGGAATTTCAATGATCATGAGAATGGTGAGGAATCAGGCCAGAACTACATAGGAGGATCTTGTCAATGATCTCAAAGCAGCTGAGACCATAGTCATCAAGAAAACAATTGGTAACACACTACGCCGTGAAGGACTGAAATCCTGCAGTGCCTGCAAGGTCCCCCTGCTCAAGAAAACACATATACAGGCCCGTCTGAAGTTTGCCAATGAACATCTGAATGATTCAGAGAACTGGGTGAAAGTGTTGTGGTCAGATGAGACCCAAAATCGAGCTCTTTGGCATCAACTCAACTCGCTGTGTTTGGAGGAGGAATGCTGCCTATGACCCCAAGAACACCATCTCCATTGGCAAACATGGAGATGGAAACATTATGCTTTGGGGGTGTTTTTCTGCTAAGGAGAACCTCCTTCCCTCAGTCAGCGCATTGAAAATGGGTCATGGATGGGTATTTCAGCATGGCAATGACCCAAAACACACAGCCAAGGCAACAAAGGAGTGGCTCAAGAAGCAGCATATTAAGGTCCTTGAGTGGTCTAGCCAGTCTCCAGCTCTTAATCCCATAGAAGATCTGTGGAGGGAGCTGAAGGTTCAAGCTGCCAAATATCAGCCTTGAAACCTTAATGACTTGAAGAGGATCTGCAAAGAGGAGTAGGCCAAAATCCCTCCCAAGATGTGTGGAAACCTGGTGGACAACTACAAGAAATGTCTGACCTCTGTGATTGCCAACAAGTACTTTTGCCACCAAGTACTAAGTCATGTTTTGCGAAGGGGTCAACACTTACTTCACTCATTAAAATGCAAATCAATTTATAACTTTTTCGAAATGCCTTTTTCTGGATAGTTTTGTTATTCTGTCTCTCGCTGTTAAAATAAACCTACCATTACAATTATAGACTGATCATTTTGTTGTCAGTGTACAAATGTATAAAATCAGCAGGGGATCAAATAATTTTTCCCTCATTGTACACTATCGCAAAAATTTGATTTTACAAACCAGTTTGGGGTAAAGGTTGTCTGTTAAAAATGAATTTAACTGATAATTTATATTACTTATATAATTTACATAATGTGCATAGTTCTGTTATAATTATCTTTGTGTTTTGTTCAATTTTTAATTATTATTTTAAAAGGAATTAAAATAAATTAAAAAATTAGGGAAGTGTTGAGAAACCAAAAACAAACATTTATCTACTTAATTTAAAGGCAACTAAAAAGTGGTCCATAAACTTGAGGTTTGCTGTACTGTACAACGTTCTCTATTTGCATAGTGCTATTTAAAAAGAAATTTTGCATATTGAACAAAGAAAACACAATTTAATTATTTTTTTATTTTTTTTATTTGGTGTTAAGTAACTCCACAAAAAAACAAATTCAGTTACTCTGATGTATGTGAAATCAGAACGATACACCACTTGAAGCGAAAAGGTAGAAACAAGTTCAGCCCAGGAATGAAAAACTGATACTTCAGTGCTATGGATATGCAATGTGCTTCATACCACAGTGCATTTCAGCATTTCCACTTTTAAATTATCCTTGCAGAAAACAGAAACACGAACTCACACATCCACTTTCTCACTGAAAAGCTTCAGAATTTTACCCATTCAGTTATGAAACAAATAAATATTATTTGTTATTGCCCACACATGTAACATACACATTTTCAAAGGTGTTAGAATATTGAATCATAATAAAATGAGCCATCCTTTCACTGAGATAAAAGTCCAAATAAGCTGAATTTTTGAAGTGTGAGTTCTTCCCTCCCCAAATATTCCCATTTGGCTTTTCATATTTCTAACAATAATTCTTTACATTAACCACTAAGATTTATCAGTTTTGTTCTTTGCTTTCATACTGACAATAATATCCTTAGTGCATGTGCCTATATAACATTTTAAAGGAAGCTCCAGAAGAAAGTAAATATTTAAACACATATCCAAAATTTCAAATAAGAAAAAAAAACCACCGTAAAGATTTGTAGTATGGATGCTAAAATAAAGTAGCTTAAAAGCCATTATTAATGTTATTAATGACATTTCCCTGGAAGGTACAAACCAAGCCAATGGAGTTGGAAGTTTCAACTGAAAGGATGAGATACAACCCGTACCCTAGATCTTAAATCTTGTACTATCAATTAAAAAAAAGGCAAAAAACTTCATTCAATTCAATTAAGCTCACTAGCACAGAATAAAAATTTAAAGCCAGTTCAGCTTACCATTTGAAACAACTATAATTGTTAACAAGTTTCTTGCCTATTAAAATTAATGGCTTAGCATTTTCAAGTCAACAGTAAGCTTTCTGTTCTTTCTGGTGTCTTAAACATGCTGCTATTGTATAGTTTTTTAAAACTATGAAATGGTATAAACCAATATTGCTCCTCCTGACATGATTTGCATAATACATTATTAGCACAGGGAGTTGATAGTCTTGCACAGTTACATTTTGACAATGCATTGACTATGTTAAAATAAATGTTAAGAACAGGTCACATAAAGCAACAATCACTACTGCAATCACACATGTAAATCATGTTCCCATTCCCTCCCACAACACACAACTTACTTCTAACATTCTCTCAGGACACGAAGTTAGCTACAAATTTTACTAAATTACAGCTATAATAGTAGCTAACTGCAGGAGCCATTGGATTTGAGTGATATATTAATTCTCTGCATAAAAAATATTCAACATTGACTCTTAAGATTTCTTTTGTTGTTCAGGCCAACTATATGAAGCTCTTTACGAAGTTCACTGTTCCATAATTTCCCGACAATGCAATCCTAAGTACACTTACAAGTATGAAGTAAGTGTGCTTGGTTCAGGCTGTAGTGTCACTTGTTGAATCATCTACTTTTCAACACTGAGTCCTGAAAAAGAAGAAAATACTAAGCCCTGAAAACAAGAGGGGGAAAGGGGGAATGGTCATTTTTCTTCCTCCTTATCCCTGCAAAAACGCGCAGCTTTCTCAGTTAGTAACAAACAATTGTTCCAACTCTGTTTCTATGCATGTTAGGAGAAGAGATTCTAGAATTGAAAGTACAGTTTCTGAAAGTCTCTAAAGCTCAGCCCTAGTATTTCTAATCCCAAGTTGTAAGAGCTTAAAAGACAGGACAAGCCATACATGCTTTCCTCTCACATTCAGAAAGGCACTGATAGATTACAGCAGTGTTTCCCAATCTTGACAATTTTAAGGCATGTGGACTTCAACTCCAAGAATTCCACAGCCAGCAAAGCTGGCTGTGGAATTCTGGGAGTTGAAGTCCACATGCCCTAAAATTGTCAAGATTGGGAAACACTGGATTACAGTGTTAAGTATTTATCTCCCAAATCTTAAAAGCCTAAATGTGCTAAAAGATAAAATCTCTGAATAGTTGTAGACACTGCAATGCTAGTAGGATAGTAATACTGATACAGCTGCAGTTGAAAATAAAAATAACTGCAACTAGGATGCAAAAGAGCAGTGATACTATTAAGACAATCACATGCACATCCATTCTTGATTTGACAACACAATCTACTCTAGGTCCAAATAGCCAAGGAGCTAATAGTTTGGAGAAAAAGGGGAAAAAAAGCTTCTAGCGGGGCCGTAACCCACTATTAAAAATAAAATACCAAGAAGAGAAAGATAAATACACTTCTGAATCCATTATATGAAGGAAGAACTCAATTTGTTGCTGAGTTACGAGCCTTCTGGAAGAGTTTGCCACCTCATGTTATTCTTCAAGCCATCCTTTTATTCTATAACTTTATAAGTGAGTTCGAGAAAAAAGCTCTTCTTCACAAGGATCTGTCCATCCATTTCCACCTTCTGATGCTGCACCTTCAGAACTGTCACTGTCACTGGAGTATAACTTCTTTCTAAAGCCATTTGATTTTATTTCAGAATCTCTAGGATCTGCACACCTTGCTTCATGCATGGAAGAAATCTATAGGATTACATTTAAAAACATTATACATTACAATTTTGTAAAAGGAGAAAGTATTTAAAAATCTTAAAAATCAAAATCATTCACATTTTCATATTGCAATTACAAAAAAATGGATTCAAATTTATAGTAAGCAGACTTCTGTTGGCACTAGAGAAAAGGGAGGAAGATGGCATTCATAACGGCTCTTTTCCGTGCAGCCCTTAGTGCCAGTTTGAATTTCTACAGAACCCTCTGGGACAATGTGGTGAATTATTCTGTCAGAAAGGGAGAGAAATACCTCCCTCATCTGTTAGAATTCAGCTCATCCACTCTGGGAAAAGGCCTTCTTATTCAAAGGAGCAAGGATGGGTCTAATCCATGGGTCTTCAAACTCGGCTCTTTTATGACTTGTGGACTTCAACTCCCAGAATTCCTCAGCCAGCATGCCTGGCTGAGGAATTTTGGGAGTTGAAGTCCACAAGTCGTAAAAGGGCCAAGTTTGAAGACCCCTGGTCTAACCTACTGTTAAACCTGCTTTCAGGTTTTGATTTATCACTATCAATCCTGAAATATATACAGTGAGGCCTTCTATCTTAGTCTGTTTTTCATTAAAGCACCTTTGCTCCTCTAAAGGGCTATGATGAAAAGAACTATAAAAAAATCTGGCCCTTTAGTCTGGGCTTTTCGTTTGGTTTTGTCACAATGATGAATTGTAAATTCATGAGTTATTTGATTGTTTGCCTTTAAAATAGAGATAATCCTTGTTTAGCAGCTGCCTCATTTAGCAACCATTTGTGTTATGATAGAGATAAAAAAAGTACTTTGTGACCAATCTTCGCATTTACGATCTTTGTAGGTCTACAAAGCAAAGGAAAGCTAAAATAAGATTTAAGCATAGTCACGATTTCACTTAGTAACCTTTCGGTTAATGAATGAGTCACTGGTCCCAACTGTGCTTGCTAAACAGGGATTATCTATGTATCTCTATCAGAAGATTTAAAATTAAAAACTGTACCCAAATTCAGACCTAATTTTCTCACAAACTTAATAAAGAATCATAACATGTCTTCTGTTCTTTAGCAGACATTTACATATTTTAGATGAATCTACCTTACCTGGTATGTTTTTTCAACTTACCATATTAAAATCTTGAAGATGCTCTTCACTGTGTAGTAATTCTTTCATATCTGTGAATTCTTCATCACTGTTCTCCCTCTTGATATTTGTATAGCATTCTTTGAAAGTTTGGTTTCAAAGTATCAAAGCAAGGATGAGGGAGAGAAAAAAAAGACTTTAAAAATTAAATTCACAAGATCTAAGCAAAAAATCTCTAGTTATAATATTTGATAACCAAAAGGAAGCTCCAGCTGGTGAAAAAAACAGTTTCAGAAGTCAGGTTAATTTATTTTAGACAATTAAACTTTTATACATATTATTTTTGGGGGGAAATTAAGTAGATGAAGAGATTCTTTGGTAAGTCAGCCCCAAGATTCTCCTATGACACTGCTTTTACTTTCTTCCTATTTACTATTCACTTTGCTCTCCAACAAGTATTTTTAATGTTCTGAAACTAAGGCAACCTTCATTGGTGTAACACCCTCAGATGTTTTATTGTAAATTCAGATTACCTTCATACTGCTAACAGAAGGCCCTATGTTGGGGAGATTATGCTACATAATTTACGCAACTCGTGTGTCTAATATTTTTGATCTGATTCTGAAAAAGTTGTTTTCGAACAGAGAAACAGAAATGCAACATGTGCAGTGACTCAATAAAGCAAGTGTGTTTACTTCAAACTGCGCTTATTCTATAAGGTCATTCAAATTCCATATGGTCCAAAGAAACTTTTTGACCTGAATTTAAAATGTATAGCCCAGTAGGCTGTGTGTACATTATACTGGTATCTTTATGACCTTCATCTTGAAAGAGACTTGGTTAACACACTCTGAAATTGTTCCATAGCAAAGATCAATGCAGTGGTTAATAGGAAATACAGCTTTAATTTCATGGCTGAATAAAGAGCAAGTATGGAAGTTACAATGCAAAGACAATTCTTTGAATGTAGACAATAAATACTTTGGATGTATCTTAATTCTGTAGCCACAGGATTAGACAAAAAAGCAATTCATTATGAAACAATTGACCTGTAGGGTTAGCACAACAGATATTCCCTTTCCACCTATGTGAAGAAACTCAAGAAATCCCAGCACCACAGCCCAACAGAGAAGACCTTCTTGAATAGCTGTGTCCTAAGTCTGGGGTCCCCAGATTTGTCTGTTCATTACCCTCATGAAATTTCAGATTGTTCATCAATCTCTCCCAACATTCATTATATGAAAATAATTTAATAAATACTACTTTAATAAATAATACTACAAATAACATTAACTCCTTGGATAGTCCCATCAACCTGTTGGATTGATACTGACCATTCCAGGGAATCTTGAAGAACAGCACACTCAGGATATATAAGAGGACATAGTGCTATCTTGACATGATAAGCTGGTAACAGCCTACATCCCCTCTCCTGCCCTGTCATCCAACTTAATACAGCCACTTAAACAGACACTGATTCTTGAGCATTTTGCCTAACTCATTCCTGCCTAGGTCACAAATTGTCATGTTTATCTTCCACATTCAGTTCATAGCAGCTTATGTTCTTTTTTCATGTTACTGCATTAATTCTGCTCAATTTATTGTCTTAGCAGTAACTGAAGAAAGAGGAATAAACACATGAGATTGTTGAGATCATCTCTTTGACTCCAACAACAAAGCTCTGAGAAACTTAATTCACTTGGCTCTGGTCATCTATGATGAATAACAGTTGTTAACAGTTGTAAAGCAAGGGAAAAAGTCACCACATTTATTGAGAGTTTCAATTGTGGAGAAAGTTTAGACATCATTACAGGGTAAAAATGGCTCCTACTTGTTCAAAAGGACAATTGTCCTTCTGAAAGTTGCACAAAAAAGGAGCATATTGATGCAGTTTTCCCTAACACTACATTCATGTGCCATGAACAGGTGCCCCTACTGCCCCATGTACTGTATCTTACAGCTTTTAAACAGACAAAAACCCTCTTGGAACAAAATGGTGACCACCCCATATAGAAACAGTTGTTTTCTCACTGGCAGCTGCTGAAGCTGTAGATTTTCCTTGTTGTCTACATGACAAGCTGTGAGAAGAATATCCTTTCTTCTGTGTATGTTGAATGTCTGCCTGGTTACCTGTGGAAAAAGAAAAAAAGGCAGATATTGTACAAGGTCTGATATATATAAAACACTTCTCTGTAACTTAGTCAATGAACAGTAAGATGTAAGAAAAAGAGCCCTCACTTAAGAGGCTTCCAGTCCACATCTTCTCCCATTATCCCAACAAGTATGCATTCTTGTGGTTTGGGAGTATGAGAGGTATTGTTACTCTGGATCAGGGGTGATAAACTGCGGGCCCACGGGCCGGTTTCATCATACCGGAGCCGCGTCCATCCCATTGCCGGCAATGGCAAAAAAGCTCCAATATGTTGCGCGACGTCACGTGACGTCGTGAGTTTGACATGTCTGCTCTGGACGGAATACTTACTCGTCAAATGTAGGGAATCGCACCGGAACTCTTTGTCCAACAGCTGTTCTGTTCCAACATCAACCATTTCTGATTCTGAAAGAAAGAATATGTCACAAAGTTTGGCAAATACAGTGTCACTGTCATGTTCTAAAAAGTAGCGGGTTGTTATTTAGTTAATACGGAGTTTCTGAAGTTTTCAGAAGTAATGGGGCAAAATAGTCTATGAATACATTGCTTATTTTGAGAGCGCTTAGAAGGGGAGTTTCACGTACACGCTTCCCTAGTGTATACTCTTCCCTAGTGTATAGCTCCCCATTTGATTACCTATGTGAGGTGCCTTGTCTTTTAATCCCCAGTTACAGCAATGGGGTTCCTGGTGCACATGCATGCCTGGAGTCCAGAAGCAGAGTACCTGTAAGGGGTCTAAGAATACAAAAATTATTCATCTGCTATTCTTGTATTTACTGTTAGCCTTGGCTATTTGTGATTTACACAAACTCCTCCTTTGATAAAAATTGCCAAAGCCATAGCTTTAATGAACACATGATATAGATATTTATAGAACACTATTGTCTCCAAACAGAAAATGTAACCATACATTTATGCCATATTTTAAGCTAATTTTTCATAGGTGTAACACTACATTAGCATAAGGGGAAGGAACAATGTTCAGAGAGAAAAAATCCAATCGTCCTATTTCTCCCCTTCTACCATTTCAATTCCAGATGGTGGCACTGTGATGCAGATGAAACACTATTCTGTCATCCTTTTCTATTGGTTAAAGTGACAAATTCTGTCCTCCAAGTATTTATAGAAACTGCACTTTCAAATCTATCCTGAACAAAAAAATGTCCAAGTCCAGTGCTTTTTGGAATTGTGCAATGTAATCTTTATATCTCAAAAATTGCTTATATTAGGGAGAATTGCAAGAAGATACACTCTAGAAAAAGGCCATAGAATATCTAAGAAATTCTAGATCAACTTTTATTTTACAAGCTCAAAACTATGCAAAAATACACTAAAGGTAAACAACTGAGAAAATGAAAATGAATAAAACCATGATAGGTTTCTCTATCGCTAGTAATCGTCTTTCAATAAAAAAGGAATGTAAGCATTTGATTAATCCCTACAGCTAGCCTTATTTCTATTAGCACTGAGATATATTACAGTAATTAATTTACAGACAGAGAACAGAAAATGCTTACTGTCCTACCATGAAAGTAACCTAGTCTCAATACGTGTCTTAATTCCAAACATTAACTGTTTCTCAAAATTCTGATTATTCTGTGGTGGATGTCAGAGAATGTGGTTAGATTCCAATTAAAAACTCATGAATTACTAGAACTTGCCCACATTCTCACATTCCTTCCAAACATTCTGCCCCATGCTCACTGTTATCTTTTCCTACTGTAATGAGACTTTTTCATTATAGCTCACAAAGAGGACATCAGCATACTCATGAGGTATATCTCGAGATTCTCTTAATAATTAATTCAATCCCAGGTGAGAAAAGTGACTTGGCTGAACTGAAACATACTGCACCTTAAAAAAATCTTTTCAAGCACCTTTTAAAGTTGCATTTTTCTTTGTTCCTACAGCCACATTCTCCAACAGGTTAAATGTTCACAACACACAAGATAGAAAGTTTATAAATTTACATTAATAAAAACTTAAGATCAAAACAAAATTGAAATAGGTGTAATTAGAGAGTAATTTTTGTTTTGTTAGAATGCATATAAAGGTTAACAAATTATGTTCTTATAATGAAAGCAGGTGCAAAGCAGAGAACTTGGAGCAACAGCTATGAGAAGGAGAAAGCAGCCATCAGATGATGGGGAAAAGAAAAGGCAATAAAGATCATAGTACAGACAAAAGGTATCTAGTAACTCCTCATGACACACTAAACCATCATTTCACAATTAAGTATAGAGTAGTAGTTTTGTTGGTATACCTGTTTGAAAAGAAATAACATATTTGGGCTGTGCAAAGCATTTTAAATAGGTGGTTCGGAAGGTGCGTTAGCAGAAAGCACCTCTTCCAGGCAAGGCTTGCTCAACTGCTTGGAAGGCTGTCTCCTCATCTGTGTGCATGCAGAGCCACCACACGCCACTGGTGGTCCCAGGGTCTATGCATGCTTTCAAATTCTAATTGCAGACAGTCGAGTTTAGCTAAAAAATGAACCTCTGTATCTTCATCAGATAAGTTTTCAGTTTACTATATAAGTCCAAGTAACATTTTAAAAATGGAACATGTATATCTTCAGGAGAACTATATATCTTATCATCCCCATCTTTTTCATCTCTTTTTTATTTTCACTTCAAGCGGTTTGCCAAGATCCTACCAGGTCTGGATGGATTTCCTGTGGAATGGCATAAAACATTTATTGATATACTTGCTCCTAAAGTCTATAAACCATACAAAAATGGTGTTTTATCTTCAGTTAGTGAAGCATATATTACAATTATATAAAAACCTGGAAAAGATCATACATTATGTTAACTGCAATCCTACTTCACTGATTAATTAGATATTTTGTTTTGGCTAATAAATTTCAACAAGTAATTTTTTCAGTTGTCAAGTAGGATGAAATGGGCTTTATTATACATGGATCACATAATATTTGGTGATTTGATTGATTTGAACAAGAACAAAAAAGACAAAGCTGCAATTCTGTCACATTATGAAAAAAAGCTTTTGATTAAATGTGTAAAACGTATATGTTACTTTAGCCAAAAGAGGATTTTCAAAGGATTTATAAAATAGGCAAATACTCTATGCAATTCCCAAATCTAAAGTGAAGATCTTTTAAATCTACTTTCCAATATTGTGTTGAACAACATTTGGTAATTAACTGTCAAAACCCCAAAGTAATAGTTGCCAATAGATCCAAAGTCCATATAGAGCAGTGGTTCTCAACCTTTTTAATGCCACGACCCCCAACCGGTTGAGGACTACTCAACCGGTCGTAAGTCGAGGATTACTCAACTGGTGCACCACCATTTGCAGAATGGGACTTTTGGCAGGCTCAGCAGGGCAGAGACAGCCTGGACAATTCCTATTGGCTTTTGAAAGCCAATAGAATTAGACTCTAAGGAAAAGGGGAAAAAAAATAGCGGACTGCATTGTTTGGTGACCCCCGTGAAATGGTCGTTCGACTCCAAATGGGGTCCCGACCCACAGGTTGAGAACCACTGATATAGAGACTATTAAAACCACCATTTGAATAAAAAAATATATATAACTTGGCACTGTATTTAAAAATAGGTGGATCACATTGCAATGCCACCAATTGTTTTCAAAAGCATTACAAATACAAGTACAGAAATCACTCCTAAGCATGTTCCAAATACTGTTTTCAGTATTTACCAGAGCCTGGATTGTTAACTATAACGCATCTTGGTGGACTGCTTATACATTTCAATCCACTTGGAAGAAAGCCCTAATGGAGAAAATGGTGTATCTATTCAGTTGTATATTTTATATTGGGACCAGGCTAAAGAACTGATACAATTCTAGACGCAGTATAGTTAAAATTTACACACATATTTGATTTCCTAATTTTTTTCAAGGGAGAATAATAGTCTTTATATATGACCCAACCTAATTGTAATTTTGCTTTGACGACGATGTGCACCAGCATCTCTTATCCATATTACTGCGGGGTAGGTCTGCTCAAATTCCTATAATGCACAAATTGTGCATACAGTACATGGAAAAGGTTGTATAAAATATATAGAGGTTTTCTTGTCTATGGAAGTCCTTAAACCCTATCCTTGGAATACATAGTTTCAGCATGAATGTAATTCTAAGTTATTTGATATTTTGTAGTTTTAGTTTCCTGAATCTTGACTTATACTACAGGTAATCCCCGAGTTATGAGCGTTCACTTAATGCTCGTTTGAAGTTACGTGAAAAGCGCCTAGTCTTTACGAGAAAACCCCAAATTTATGAATGTTACAGCACCACAGCAGGGAACAACGAGCTCCTGGATGCTGTGGTATCGCACAAGTTCCAGCTCCCATGCTCTTTTGCAGAGAACGGGTACCTGAACTCTTGCAAGATCATGGTCCCCAGAAACTTTCATTTTTGGCACAAACTCTATGCCTGTCTCCTGCTCATCCGCCCAACTCCTTTGGTTCCTGCGCCCTGCCGACTCCAATTCCACGCTTTTCCCCATAGGCAAGGAAATGAAGTAATCAGTTCCCCCCCCCCCGAATGGAAGCTTCTGGGGGCCATGATCTATTTTGATCTCACACGATATTATAGCACCTAGAAGCTTCCATTGTCGGCGTGAAAAGCTGACTCTCCTCTCCCTCAAAGGCCGCAGCAGAGAGGATTTTTGCAAGGTAAGTGAGTCCGGTGCGGCAGGAAGGGAGGGGGAAGCATGAGGTATCTTAATGGGTCGGGGAGGCCTTGGGGGCTAGTTCCATCACTAGGCCCTCCATGGTCTTCCCCACCCTGAGATACCTAATGTGCACTTAACAAGCCGCATGCATCTTAATGAGCAGGGAGTGATCTCGTTCGAGGTATGAGATTCACTCCCATGAATTTTCAAGTTAGGAATGGAATGGGCAAGCTCCATTCCATTTGTAACTCAAGGACTACCTGTATTATATATACTTTTGACCTAGTACCAAAATTTGGATATGTTCATTTTAGCATAAATTTTATTTCCTATTTCTTTGCAATATTCAAATGTGAAAACTTTCATTATTTTGACTATTTTGACTCAAAAATATCTTATGTCATTATCATAACAAACTGAACACTTTGATATCTTTTTTTAAAAATCATACTTGATCTCTTTTTCTCATGCAAATTAATGCTATGGTGTAATTCAGACCTTAATATTGAGAGAGATATTATAAGGAAAATCTGGATGGAACCTAACATGTTTAGTTTACAATGAAGAAAAAATTATTTGATCCACTGCTGGTTTTGTACATTTGTCGACTGACAAAGAAATGATCAGTCAATAATTGTAATGGTAGGTTTATTTTAACAGCGAAAAACAGAATAACAACAAAAAAATTCAGAAAAACGCATTTCAATATAGTTATAAATTGATTTGCATTTTAATGAGTAAAATAAGTATTTGATCCCCTAACAATTAGCAAGATTTCTGGCTCCCAGGTGTCTTTTATACAGGTAACGAGCTGAGATTAAGAGCACTCTCTTAAAGGGAGTGCTCCTAATCTCAATTTATTACCTGTATAAAAGACACCTGTCCAAAGAAGCAATCAATCAAATAATATTCCAAACTCTTCACCATGGCCAAGACCAAAGATTGTAGACCTACACAAGGCTGGAATAGGCTGCAAGACCATTGTCAAGCAGCTTGGTTAGAAGGTGCGATAATTTGCAAATGGAAGAAACACAAAATAACTCTTAATCTCCCATGGTCTGGGGCTCCATGCAAGACC